CATTCATAAATGACATCACAAAGTAAAAAAGAAGAACTTTATGAGTTCAGAGGTTGAAGTTCTGCTCTCAGAGATCCAGAAAAGAAAATCTGTCATTTTTAGCAGGTCAGCTGTGGAATTAAAGGAGCTGCTGAAGCTGAGGAATGAAATGTTCTGTTAATGTTGTGTCTCCTGTGGGTCGTATACAGACACASAAATAACTATCTAAATCATATTCATCTCTCTGTAGTCCTGCTGTGCTTTTACTTTGGTCAGATATTTTTAATTTAAGTGTAAACACCTGTGTTACACAGTTTTCATTTATTCAGAAGAGCCACAGCCGGACCATCCAGTCCCCCGTCCTCACACACAGGTGGTGTCAGATGTGGTTCTGAAGAATAAGAAAGCTTTTTAAAATGTCTCGAATGTGTCTGACAGAAATTATCAGACAAGCTGATGTGCTGAAKAAATSTCAACAAAATAACATTTGATYAAAAAAACCTGATCTATGTCTGAATAAAACTGTTGATTTTCTTCACTTCCTGTTGACCTCATTATGTACAGACACAAATTAAACTTCAATTAATGCATGATTTATGTTGTAGTTTGAGATCTTCATAATATTATTGCAGTTTTATACAACAGCATTAACAGCCGATTTAATTAATATCATTACATATAATACATTTAAAGTTTTAATTCAAATTCAAACAGAATAACCTGTGATTTATTTTAAACTCAGAATATCTTCAACCTAATGAAGCGTAAAGTTATCAGAGCAGTTGTGACTGAGCTGGACTTTGTGCTGCTGCAGGTATGTGAGAGGTTGGTTCAGCCCCCACCATCAACACAGGAAGACTGTAAACCCCCTGATCTGCATGCAGCTGCACAGCCAGGCCTCTGGGTAACATCTCACTGCTTCTTGACTTTGTCTCTTAAAGCACAGCCTCTTCAAACTGACACKTTCATCTTTTTATTCTCAGCTATGTGCAAACGTTAGAGAAGAAGGCAGAGGCAGTGAGAAAAGAGATGCTGGAGCTTTACCACGACTCCACAGCTCAGGAGTGGACAGAAGAACATGTCAGGCCTGTGGTGGCTCCACTGCAGCAGCTGACACAACACATCCAAGCCTGTGTGCAGGAAATGATGCCGTAAACACAGACACACAACAGTCCACCGCCATGTTAGGCTTTATCCATAAAGATTTAATAAAAAATGATTTGCTCTTCAGCAGGTTCTTCAATTGTTCAAATTAAAGCTGAAGTTTATAAAAAACACAACAGATTCCACAATATTCATTAAAAATGAAACCAAATGTAAAATCCTTGTAGATGGATCAGTTCAGTGTGAGGAGCTGCTGCTTGGATGTGTTTACTGTTAGTGTTAACACCTGTACAGGTGTTAACTGCAGGTGTTAACACTGCAGCAGTGAGCACAGACTTGTGATGATCATAGAACCACTTCCAAACAATCTGCAGCTCCTCGTTCTGTGCTGACAAATAATAAAAGTACAAACCATTTATTTCCCATCACAACCAGCCTGAGCTCACACAACAAACAGGTCAGTTAATAAAATTAAAACTTTTAGGTGCGTCTCACACTACAGATGTTAGGAGGTTAAAGGAAAAATAAAGGTGTCTTTTAAACCAAAGTCCAGATGTTTTCTGTGAATGGAAGTTAAACACTGGTGCCAGTTTTCACCACATCACTGTAACCTGTGTTMAATGTGTTTTAGTTTCATCCTAGAAGAGTTATTATAGTTATTATTTCATGTTTCAGCCATAAAAACTCATGAATGTTCAGATGGAAACACAGTGGACTCAGGTCACATTCAGTACCTTTTGTTTTTATTAAATAATGACTCAGTGGAACATGTTGTGCTGTTTGTTACACTCAGGTTGATTTAAATCATTTTATAACCTGAACAAATGTTTTTATGTCATAAAACTTGAATTCGGGGGAAGTTTCAGATTATTTTCCTCATGACCACAAGTTTGAACCAAGTCATCTTTTGATTTATTTTARAATCCAAATTATTTTCAGAAAAGGTTTTAACATGCATTAAATGTTCAGTTATTAGATTTCTGTGCAGAGCTGCTGTGAGCAGGTGAAACGACAAACTGAGTGTTTTCAACAAAAACATCAGAGAAGTGAAGGAAACACAGTAAGAGTCAAAWAAAAACCTGCAAACATGAAAGAAACAAAACAGCTGATTTTTCTTTTAACTTCAGAACAAATAATCTGAAGGAGAGAAAAGTAAGGTTTCTGACCAAAACAAAACTTTGACCTGAGAATCAGTCTTTGGTCCAAACAGAACTTTAACATTAACTCACATTAACTCACATTAACTCACACTAACTCACACTAACTCACATTAACTCACATTAACTCACACTAACTCACACTAACTCACACTAACTCACATTAACTCACATTAACTCACATTAACTCACACTAACTCACACTAACTCACACTAACTCACATTAACTCACATTAACTCACATT